CTCTGCTTCCAGCCAAGATCCACTTGACATCAGCAATGATATCCCTCCTTCCATGCTCTTTTCTGAATCCAGCTTGAACTTCTGGTAGGCCCCTATTGTTATACTGCTGCAACCCCTTTTGAATTGTCTTCAGCAGAATGCTAACTTGCATGTAATATTAATGATATTGTTCAGTGATTTCTGCATTCTCTTGGGTCATCCATCTTTCTTTGCAATGGCCAGGTAGTCGTCTTCCAGATTTCTCAGTTCAGAAGAGTGAGCACCTCCAACTCTGTGTCAGTTTGTTCAAACATTGCAGTTTGTGTTCCTTCAATTCTTGAGGCTGTTCCCCACCCCCTCCCCCCCGCTAGCAGCTTCAGTGCAACTTGGACTGCTTCCTTCAATTCATCAGGTCTCGATCAGCTCTTTTTCTTCCAGTCACTTTAGCTTCTCTATGTTCTGATTATTAATGGATGTTTGTAGCTGTTGCTTCTCATTTTGAGTTTTGCTCCATCAGCAAATGAAAGTCCTGAAAGCTTTGCTCCATCCACATCGTTAATGTCAACTATACTTTGAAGAGGCAGTCATATTTTGAGTGCCTTCCAACCTGAGGGGCTCATTTTCTGGCACTATATCAGACAACATTCCACTGCTATTCATGAGGTTTTTACTGAATAACCTTTAAAAAGTGATTCCCCTCTCCTTCTTCCTAATCTCATTTCGTCAGGTAACTACTGAAATCTGTCTACCATGGGTAACCCTGAGGGTATTTAAAATACCAGTGGCATAGCTTCCAGCATCACAGCCACACACAAGGCACTACAGAATAACAAACTGACAGAAGAGTGGTTGTCAATGCTGATACTTGACAGTTATTTCTCCTCCTTCCTAAATATTTTTATTTGTTCTGATAATTTGGCCAATATCATAAATAGTATACCATTGCAGTCCAGGGAGTAGGGTGTGTAATTAAGTGCCTTTGCTTCTGTCCTGGCTCTTCTGCTTTTGAGCTATGTGAGTTTTGGTGGTTTCTTGTTTTCTCTGATTTCACTGTCTTGATTTGTAAAAATTCTTTATAAAAAATGATTCATATAAAGATTGAGTAAATTAATATGCTGAATTTGTTTATAATATAATCTAGAGTAGTGGAAGCTATCAAAATTAGTGAAAATAAATACACAAATCACTATATTATGTAATTCTGGGATGAAAGTAAGGTTCATGTTTGTTTTATTTTTTTCTGTGTTATATATCCACTTAGATTCTAAAAAGGAAAACTATTTTCTTAATTCTTTCTTAATAAGGTTGAGATACCTTAGTCAATGATAAAATAATTTCAGTCAGGAGATTTAACCCG